CAAACTGCTAACTGAACCAGCATGTTAACCTTGCAAGAATCCTGAACTAGGACTTCTAAGTCCTTTTGTGCTTCAGATTTCTGAAGCCTTCCCTCATTTAGTAAATATGCTATGCTTCTATTCTTCCTACCAAAGTGCATGACCTCACACTTTCCCACACTGTATTCCATCTGCCATTTATTTGCCCACTCTCCAAGCCTGTCCATGTCCTTTTGCTGCCTCACCACCTCCTCAGTGCTATCTGTCCCTCCACCAAGCTTTGTGTCATCTCCAAACTTAGCAACAATGTTCTCAGACTACATTGATCCTGGTGATGACCTCAGACCAAGCTGGCAGAGTCTGGTGGCGTGATCAAATCTGGCAATCTTGGGGAAAGAGGATGTCCCCTCCTGTGCACAACTCATCAACCATGACCTCAAAGTCCCTGCCTGACACTATGTCCACTAAATTGTGTACAGCCTCCAGAATGCCAGTTCTTATCCGCGTGCACAACAGCCTTTTGAAAATGGCACTTATGCCAGGGATAGCCTGGCAATAGTAAGAACTGGGGTAGTGTGGTGGCTCAGTGAGTGGTACCTCACAATGCCAGGGACCTGGGTTTGATTCCAACCTCAGGTGACTGTGTAGAGTTTACACACTCTCCATGTGTCTCCGTGGGCTTCCTCCGGGTACTCCACCTTCCTCCCACAGTACAAAGATCTGCAGGCTAGGTGGATTGGCCATGGTAAATGTGGGATAATGTGGATAGGGTAGTGGGGTTGGTTTGGGTGGGATATGCTTCAGACAAGATGGGCTGAATGGCCTCTATCTGCACTGTGCGGATTCTATGATTCTGGTTACAGTAAGTGGGAGAATCTGGATAGCATCAGATGAGAGGGCATACTATGGGGTCACGGTCAGTAGTTAATGAAGCAGGTTTGGGATGGTTGTGTGTGAAAACTCTCCAAAATTACAGAAACACTCCAAATGGAAAGGCTCTGGGGAAAATTGATGCACAGAGAGATCTGGGTGTTCAGGTCCATTGTACCCTGAAGGTGGCAACGCAGGTCGATCGAGTGGTCAAGAAGGCATACTGCATGCTTTCATTCATCGGATGGGGCATTGAATACAAGAGTTGGCAGGTCATTTTACAGTTGTATAGGACTTTGGTTCGACCACATTTGGAATACTGCATACAGTTCTGGTTGCCACATTACCAAAGGATGTGGGTGCTTTGGAGAGGGTGCAGAGGAGGTTCACCGGGATGTTGCCTGGTATGGAGGGGGCTAGCTATGAAGGGAGGTTGAGTAGATTAGGATTATTTACATTAGAAAGATGGAGATTGAGGGGGGACCTGATTGAGGTCTACAAAATCACGAGAGGTATAGACGGGGTGGATAGCAAGAAGCTTTCTCCCAGAGTGAGGGACTCAATTACTAGGGGTCACAACTTCAAGGTGAGAGGGGAAAAGTTTAAGGGAGATATGCGTGGAAAGTTCTTTACGTAGAGGGTGGCGGGTGCCTGGAACGCATTGCCAGCGGAGGTGGTAGAGGCGGGCACGATTGCGTCATTTAAGATGTATCTAGACAGATACATGAATGGGCAGGGAGCAGAGGGATACACATCCTTGGAAAATAGGCGACAGGTTTAGATAGAGGATCTGGATCGGCGCAGGCTTGGAGGGCCGAAGTACCTATTCCTGTGCTGTAATTTTCTTTGTTCTTGTTCTTTGTTCTTGATATTCAGCAAAATTGACATTTCACTGAAACACTGTCAGATTCAGCCCTAAGTGTCTTTCTCTCTTTCATGGGTAAGAGGCATTGTCGAAGTGAGGTCAGGTCCCGTGACATACAAAGTTTGGGTAGGTGTGACAGTCCTGAAAAACATGTGGACCACATGAAAGCTGCAACCTCACAAACGGGACAGGAGCGAACCATACCCTCAGAACAGCTAGAAAGGCTGTTGCAACCCATGGGTTCTCTCCCTCTGTCAAACATCGAAGAAACCTTGGAGTCTGAGATGGACATAGTGGATGTCACAGCCTCGATGTGTTTACCGCCTGAAGAACAGGATTAATATCCTCCGAGGTACTCTAGATGCAAGAGGTAGACTATAGTCTGGTACGTGCTGCCCATATCTAAGGCTGCGTCAGAGAAATTAGACCCGGTGCAAAAATGTCCCTGGAAAGGTTACAAGAAAAGGAACAGGCCTAAGTTCCCAGATTTAGATGGGGAGGGATGTAGTGATTGTAATGAGGTCAGCCAGGTGGATCTCATAGAATATCTTTTCCCTGATTAAGGCTGTTAACCTGGTCCAATCAGGGAGCCCTGGCTGACAGATATAAACAGGAGTGTCAGAGGCTCTACTCATTCTGAGAGCTGGCTCTGAGGAAGTTGGACTAGTGTCAAGTATTATGCATATGTAAATGAAGGGTGACTTGGTGACAGGACACTGACCTCTGGAGTTATTTCACTTTTCTTTCTTCATCCTAATCCCTGAGGATGAATATCTGAACATTTTTCCTCAGTCAGGTTTCTCCTGCAGTGACAAACTTCAGCCTCCACCAAATGGTGATACCTTGTCAGTGATACTGTGCCACTCTATTACCTGAGGTAAACGTTCATCAGCAAATAAGCTCAGGCATTGAGCTGTCACTGCATGGGTGATAGCAGCCTGCAGCTTATGGGATCCAAAGGTTTGGCTGGGGATCTCCAGATCCAGTTAAGAGTAAGCCCAAAGGTGAATGGTAGAATAACCAAGAGTTATTGGTTTGTCCTGATTTTGGGGTTACTCTCAGTATATGTACTAACAAATATATTTTGTTCTTTTATGATGCTCATGATTAATCATCCTGCTCCAATCCTCATTCCAATTTGAGGCCATGGATCAAAGTAGACCACTTGCTGAACAAAGATGACTGTAAATAATATCAAAAAAAGTCTATTTGCCTATACTGTGCAGTTGTCATGGTGACCTTCTTCAACAGAGACTTGTGTATAATCCAAGCCAATACTTGCAGTGCTGTACTGAGGAAGTGCTGCACTGCTGGAGAGAATATCCACCTGTCCCCTCAATTGAATGTAAATTATCTGTTGCTCTTTTGATGAATACCATGGGAGTTCTTACCACGCCCCCCCTGCCACCCCAGTATGCTGGTGTCAACTAACATTGTAAAACCAGATGATCTGGTCATTACTGTATTTTTTTTTTGTGTGGGGTCTTGCTCTGTGCAATATGGTTGCTGTGCTTCAGTAGTTTGTCAAAACTTGACAAGTACTTAACTTGTTGGGTAGTGTTTTGGAACATTTGGAAATTGTGAAAAGTGTGACATAAATGCAAGCTGTTCTTTCATGTTGCTTTCAATCACATAATTGTTACAGTGAACAAAGACTGTTCAGTCCATTATGTCTGCATCGACTCTCCAAATGAGCATTGTGACTTAATGCCATTTTTAGAACCTTTTTTACTGTAACCCTGCACATTGTTTCTATTCTTCTAATGCTCTTTTGAATGCCTTGCTTGAACATCACTCCTCCGCACTTTCAGGCTGTGCATTCCAGATTCATCCTTCTCACCATAGCTTAAAGTCCCAAACCTGTTGAATCTTCCACACAGCTTTTTAATCCTTTTGCTTGGTACACTGCTCTCCCTGTTTCCTGTTTAATGTCCCCATGCCTTTTCTCTCTGATAACACCCTGGTCCTTGCCTACTCCTCTGGGCTTCCCCCTCATGTCTGCTGATCAATCATATATTGTTTCTGGATTCTGCTTCATGGCTCAATATCAAGTTTTTGTTTTATTGTCCTAGTCCTTCTCTAGATCCTGTTCCACATCCCATTCTCTCTCCAGATCTCAGCCTCTTTATCTACTGATCGAGATCATTCTGTCTTCGTTTGATGTTTGCTGAGATGTTTCCTCAAAAAAAATTTATGGCTTTCACAATCTCGTGTCGGTTTTAGCTGTGGCACAGCAAGTCCTGACTGAGTCAAAATGTCATGAATTCAAGTCCCACTCTAGATACTTCAGCACAATGACCAGCCTGATATAACTGTGCAGTTATAAGGGGAGGTGATGGCCTTGTGGTATTATTGCTGGACTGTTAATCCAGTGAGCCAGGTATGTTCTGGGAACTTGGTTTCAAATCCTGCCACAGCAGATGGTGGACTTTGAATTCAACTAAAACAAAACTGGAATTAAAGGTCTTTGATGACCATGAAACAATTGTTTGGGGGGGGGGTAACCATCTGGTTGATGGTTATCCTTCCCCAAAGGATAATCATTAATCCATTGATTGCAGGGGGAAAACCCATCTGGTTCACTAATGTCTTTTTGCGAAGGAAACTGCCCTCTTTACCTGGTCTGGCCTACATGTGACTCCAGACCTACAACAATGTGGTTGACTCTTAACTGCCCTCTGGGAATGGGTATTAAGAAAAAGTACTGAGGAGCACTGAACTGTCTAAACTTCAAAATGTTACATCAGCTGTAAAGCTCTTTGAGCCATTCTGAGCCATTGTGAAGGATACTCTAGAAATCCAAACCTTCCTTTCTTTCAAAATGCTTTCTAGCCAATCGACTATAGTCAACTTGCAGCCTCCCACAAACAGCAGCAACAGAGACCGAGATGAAATGGTTTGATGTTAGCTAATGAGGGGGTAAACATTGGCCCTAGGTCAATGAAAATTGTAACCCAGCGACAATACTGCAGCTTCCTAACTACTGACTCGCCGAGCACATGTTGCCAATGACAAAACCCCCTTCACTTTGGTTTTCAAACCTGCTGCCTACCACATTTTTTTTTTTGAAAATAAAAGCACACCTTTGTTGATGCAGAGCGTTGAGATAAAATCTGTCCAACAATCTGCTTTAGCAACTTTTGTTAGGGGAGTGTACCAATTGTAATGACAGAAATGGAGATGATATGACTATTTGTTTTTGATTTTGTTCTTTCGGGCCAGTCTAGGAAGAAGCTGCGCTGTGAGTTACTCTTGGAGCAGAGATTTCAGTGGGAGTGGTAGGAGAGAGACAGGCGCAGTCTCGCCCTGGAGCGCTGTGTTTAGATTCTCGCTGCCTCATTGCCCTGGAATTCAGGACTCGCCGAGAATTCTGCTTCCGTCCATGGTTCACCCCCACCCCCTTTCTCTCTCTTTCAGCTAAAGGTGTAGCGCGTACCCATCAGTCTGCACAAACATTCGTCCCCACTGATCCGGAGCCAACAACGAACTGACAAATGGCCAGTTCACCCCAGAAATCTCCATCCATTCCTAAATCCCCCGTCCCGAAATCCCCCGGCTCTAGGAAAGAGGATTCCTTCCTGGGTAAACTTGGAGGAACTTTAGCCAGAAGAAAAAAGGCCAAAGAAGGTAATTCTTTCTTTCTTTTAAAAAGTGTTTCATGTAAATTGTTAACGAACGTCCTGAAAATGTTGCCTGTTTACTTGAAAAAGAAGTTTGCAAAAAGTTTCGAAAACTTTTTTGCAATTTCAACTGAAAGTGTTCAACTTTGTTTTGCTTTGTGGCTAACGTAACAGCTTTTAAGGATGCAATGTGAATGATTTACTCCCTTCATTAAATACTTTATTGTTTTGAAGCCTAAAAGTGGATTTTTGTTTTGTAGAGTTCACAGTTGAGTTCTGGGCTGGGTGTAGCTGGGCGTCTTGTGGAATGTTTTCCGGTTCAGGCTCATTCGGTTGGTAATATAAGTTGTGCGGTTGAACTCAAAAGCATTTCCCGAACACCACCACCCCCTCTTTCTCTCTCTCTCTCTCTCGTTATCTCTCTGTGCATTGCACTGTTATTGATAAAATACCAAGGTTAAGTCCGCAAATCAGGCGGGAGCTGCTTATCTGCACCTTACAAGGGGCAGGTATGCAGGAGTAAGCTGGATTCCTGTCTGCAGGGAAACCACGCCATGTAACAAAACCAAACCCTAGAGCAATAGAATTTCCACTGGCAATATTATACGGCTGTTATCGTGAATGAATGAATAATTTGTATTTTTTATTTTGAATCTCGATTATCTACATTTGTTGACGGAAATTTAAAAGACAGTACAAGAAGGCCATTCAGCCCCTTTAAGGCTGTTGAAATCACGTTACAACTGCACAAGACATTGGTAGGGCCACATGTGGAGTACTGCCTACAGTTCTAGTCGCCCTGCTGTGGGAAGGATTTTATTAAACTGGAAAGGGTGCAAACATTTTTAAAAAGATGTCACCGATACGGAAGGTTTGAGTTGCAAGGAGAGGCTGAATAGTCTGGCACTGTTTTCCCTGCACCATTAGAGGCTGAGGGGTGACCTTGTAGAGGTTTATAAAATCATGAGAGGCATAGATAAGGTGAATAGCCGAGATCTTTCTCCCAGGGTAGAGGAGTCCAAAACTGGAGGGCAGGTTAGGGGGAAAAATTTAAAAGGGACCAGAGGGGCAGCTTTTTCCACACAGGGGTAGTGCATATATGGAATGAGCTGCCAGAGGAAGTGGTAGAGATGGGTACAATTAGAACATTCAAAAAACATTTGAACAGCTATGTGGATAGGAAAGATTTAGAGGCATACAAGCCAAACGTGGGCAAATGGGATTAGTTCAGTTCAGGAAACCTCATCAGCATAGGTGAGTTGGGCCAAAGGGCCTGTTTCAATGCTGTATGAGTCTATGATTCTAATTAGAATATGGCTGATCTGACATGCTTAAGTGGAGGAGACTTGTGTGTTAAGTAGTGGACACTTGAGCCAAATGACTGGTTTCTGCACTGTGTACTTGCTGTAATTCTTCAATTCCATTAGTCTGTCTTCCTGTCCATGTTCTACCTTTGAGTTCTCTTCAGCTCAGGATTTGGGCATACTGGATTTTGTACTGAACCCATACAGACCAGAGTGCACAGCGTGGTCTGCTGTGCCTGCTGTTTACCCGGCTGGTATGTTAATTGGCACTTCAAGTGGTCGTGCCTTGGCTCAAAAATTCAACAAGTAGAAATATAGTTGGGCTGCACTGAGAACGTGTTTCTCAATACCGTTGTTACTGTTTGACTGCTGCAGAAGTTATGCAAGACCTTTATGAAACCCTGCTTGGGCCCATCCTGGGTTCCATCCGTAATTGTTTGAGAGAAGTAAGTGGTCATAATTTGGGGGGTCACCACTCTGCATCAAGCACGGCTGAACAGAAACCTATCCCACTCTTACTGCCTACCTTTGATTACCAACCTACATGACCATGTCACAAATGGTGTTTCCATGGTCAACAAGGCCTACAGTGGATGTTAACTCTGAGCTTATGGCTCAGACAGATATCACCGACTGACATATAAGGCCCTGTCCTCCGCTGGTGTATTGTGTCCAGTTCTGGACACTACACTAGGAAAATGATGTCCATGCCACTGAGAAGGTGCGAAGAAGATTTTATGGAAATAATGCAAGTGATGAGACACTTGCTTTCACCTTTTAAGATAGAAGTCTGGAGAGTAGGTGAACAGGAGATTTGGTAGAGATTTTCAAAATTGAGGAATTTGATAGGGTGGATTTCCTCTTGTAGGAGGGTCAGTAGCTTGGGGTCACAAAAACATTACATGTGCTTCATTTAGAATGCATTGCTTGAAAGGGAAGTGGAAGCAGATTAAATAGTAACTTTATAAAGGTGATTGAGTATTCACTTAAATGGAAAAGCTCTCAAATCTGTGGGGAAATAGTGAGGCGTTGGGGGAGGGAACTATTTGTGTAGTTCTTTGTGACACCGCAGAATAGACTAAATGATTATGCTCTCAAGTTGCAAGGTTCAATAATTCTTAATCTTGCATATTTCAGTCTTTTGTAGAGATGAATCCCTATTACAGAATTAAATCCTGATGTCCACAGAGGTTTGTGCTTGAGCATTGTTTAAGTGTCATGTTTTACCAGAGATGGGAGGGGCTAGGTGGTAATTCTAGCTGAGAACATTTTGTTTGTCTCTGCTACATTTTGTAGGGCTTTCACTCATTTGAGATCCAGACTTGCCAGTTACCTGTTTGGACAAATGAGTAAAAGACATAGAATCATAGAATCCCTACAGTGTGGAAACAGGCCCTTTGTCCCAACATGTCCACACTAACCCTCATAGCATCCCACCCAGACCCATTGCCCTATAACCCACTTAATCTACACATCCCTGAACGCTACAGGCAATTTAGCACAGCCAGTCCACCTAGCCTGCACATCTTGGGACTGTGGGAAGAAATGGAGCACCCGGAGGAAACCCTCGCAGACACGGGGAGAATGTGCAAACACCACACACAGTTGCCCAAGGGTGGAATCGAGCCCGGGTCTCTGGTGCTGTGAGGCAGCAGTGCTAACCATTGAGTCACTGGGCCGCCCCGATTGTCCGGGCCAATTGTCAAAAGTTGGCTACTTCAATTGACAAATATTCGCTTATTTGTTTTATTATTATGGAGGTTAGTGGGAGGGTGTCTCCTCCCTTCACTCAAAAGGTCATGAGTTATAAGCTCCACTCTAGTGAGTTGAGCACAAAATTTAGACTGCTACAGTCCAGGATGGAGGGAATGTCATGCTGGCCTGAGGGGCATGGGGGCACATATTTTTGATGAGGAGAGAGATTTTAAAAAGACATGAAGGGCAAATTTTTCAGAGTGGGTGGATCACGTGTGGAATGAACTTCCTGAGGAAGTGGTGGATGTGGGCACAATTACAATGTTCAAAAGACATTTGGATACGTACGTGAATAGGAAACGTTTGGAGGGATATGGGTCAGGAGCAGGCAGGTGGGACTAGTTTAGTTTGGGATTATGTTTGGCATGGACTGGTTGGACCGAAGGGCCTATTTCTGTACTGTATGACTGAGGTATTAGGGAATTGAGGGATGGAGGGAGCAGGCAGAAAAGTGGAGTTGACACAGAATCTCTGTCACACAAATGTACAGAATAAGAGCTGCAGTAGGCCATTTAGCCCCTCGGGTTTGCTGCACCATTCAGTTGGATCATGGTTGATCTGTTTTTGTTTTCAATTCCATATTCCTGCCTGATAAGAATCTATCCAACTCTGTTTTCAAATATTTACTGACACTGTATTCCACCAGCCCCTCACCCAAAGTAGAGAGTAAAAAATGCTCTGCATTTCTGTCCTAAAGGGTAATCCTTATTATTCAAAATATGCTCCATAGTTCTGGGTTGACCGAAAAGAGTAAACTGTCCACATCGACCTTGTCAAGATTTTCAGGATCTTATACGCTTCAGATCACTCCTCACTCTTCTAAACTTCACTGGAAACAAACCCAGCCTGTCTATTTATCCTCATAAGGTAACTCACTCATTCAAATTAGATCCTGCTTTAAAAAAGGAGACCTAAACTGTACACCGTATTAAAGATGTGGTCTCATCAATGTCTGACTGAAGCTTAACATTCTTAATTTTATGTTCAGTTCTTGTTATAATACAGGCTATCATCATATTAGCTACAACAGCAAAAACAGAAATTGCTGGAAAAACAGCACATTTGGCAGCATTTGTGGAGAGAAAGTAAAGTTAATTTTTCGGGTCCAGTGACTCTTCAGAATGGATCCTTTTAGCTTTCTTGATTACATGTCATACTTGCATCCTGACTTTTTATAACTCATACACCTTGGAATTCTATAGCCATTTTCTATTTAATTAATACTGTACTGTTTAATTCTTCCTACTGAAGTGAGCAACTTCACATTTTCTGACATCCCAGTCCATCTACCAGATTTTTTACCCACTCAAGTTATTCATATCTGTCTGCAGTTTTGTCATGTACACTTCATAATACACTCTCCTACCTATCTTGGTGTTGTCTGTGAATTTAGCTCCTGCATCTTTGCTGCCTAAATCATTGATGTAAATTGTACAGTGTTGAAGACCCAGCACAAACACCTGTGGGACTAATATCACCAACAGTAACATTCCTGCTGTAGTTTCTTCCAGAGTGAGTGACCATTTACCATTTCACAGGCCAAACCTCCATTATGTAATAGCCCATCACAAAAACTATTTTGTCAGGCTTTTGGATTTACTTGTAAAAAGATTTTCCAAGGTCGGTAGTCTGTTTTAGTTACAAGGGACCAGATCTGTTAATTGGCTTGTAACAGTGTCAAGAGTCCTCCTTTGAATTTATGATATCTTTAGAATCTTTGCAGCATTTCAAACCATACAATTGTATAGGTTAGGGGTGTCCTTTTTCAAAATGAAAGTTCTCTGTAAATAAAAATCAAACATTAAGTTGTGACAAACTGCTAGTACTTGGAAGCTGAAAAATGTAACTAGAAATTTAAAAGAACTAAAGATGGCAAGTTAGATCCAAAATTGGCTCAATGATAGGAGACAGAATGGTGGTGGAAGGCTCTGTAACTGGAGACCAGTGT